AATCCGTACCGAACCAGCCGGCGCCGAGACCGCCGCGTTCCACAACAGCGCACCTCGCCGCCGACCACGCGCACCCACCTCCGCGTCATCCCGGTCGTCGTCCGTGTTGTCGTCCAGGATGTTGACCTGGGCGTTGCCCTGGGTGTTGATACCTTTCTTACTCTCATGTGCTTTCTTACTCTCATGTGTTGTGTCCAATGTTTTGTTCTCTAATGTTGTGTCCAATATCTTCTTACCTCCGGTCTTGCTTCCTGTCTTGCCCCCGTTCTTGCTCCGTGAAGTGTTCTGGTCCAGTGTCTCACGGAAATCGATGTAAGCGTCGAGTTCGCGGACGAATTTATCGCGTCCGCGGAACTTGACGTCTGTGTCCAGGACGTAACGCATTTGGTGCAGGAACGCCACGTCGAACTCCTTGAGCGCCTTAAGGAGCAGTTGGTGGCCGGTCTGGAGTTCGTGGCGGCGGGCGCCTGGGTCCTTGCAGACTGCCCGTCGCGGGAGCGAAACGTGAAGGTGCGGAAACCCTCCTTGTGAGGGCTTGCCCAGGGTTTTGAGCGAAGTCACCAGAGGCCCCGCGATCTTGGCCCCCTCCACTGCACGCCGCAGCGCCGCCACCGTCGGCTTCCAACTCGCGTCCACGCCGTCCTCGTCCCAAAGTGCCGCCTTCACGCGCACATCAACCTTGTCAAACACTACCAAGGCGCCGTATTCGTCTAGGAACTCCCGGCAGGTCGCACACGTGTGCGCTTGGCGCTCCGCCTCGTTCGGAAATGAGCGCAAATAAACCTCATACAAGTCGCGCGGCTCGCTCAACAACAACGCACCCGTCGCCGCCGAGCGCTTAAACACAGCACACACGTGTGCCACCAACGCGTCAAAGTCCAACGCCAGCGACGGCTCCGCCAGCGATGGCTCCGCCGTGGGCGGTTCCGCCACCACTAGCTTCGGCATCGCCACCGCCACGGTAGACAGAGGATCGTTTGTCATTACCCTAAAAAACGGAATAAACCTTCCCGGCCCCGATCTCACTAAACCCACCCCTCCAGCCGCATTCACCTGCCTAAAAAAGTGACGAAACGGAGTGAGCCTTCTAGAGGGGGCACGGGGAGCATATGTCGGGCAACCCGGTAATGTGCTGGCATAAGCCCCGGTTCGTGGGTACCGATCCCGAGATTTACGAGCACTGGATTGAAGACAGGCTCGCTGATGATACAATCGAGAGGATCGATAGATCCAAGGTTAAAGCAATACTCAACCCGCACGTAGTGGGGGAAAGAGTCACACATAACCGCCAATGCTTATACGAATGATAGCGGGAAGTTTCCGAACATGCAGGCAATCGGGCCAGTCGTAGCATGGGCCCCTGGCCAGCGCGAGATCGCAAAGATTGACCTGTCGAAGGCCTTTCACGCAATACCGGTTGCGGAAGACCAGAGAAGTTATTACGCGTTCCTGGACACACGAAGAAACGCCTACAGATACATGAAGATGCCTATGGGTGCAATGTGTGCACCAAAGCACTTCTCAATAGCAATGGCAAAGGTCCTTGGCGAACTTGCAGACACCGACAAGGTGCATGTCCGATCATACAAGGACGACATCCTCCGGGCGCTACGGAGGATGAGTTGCTAGATCGTTATGACAGAGTCACTTGAAGAGATACTTAACGTAAAGAAGTCGACGATACTTGAGATAATGAGTTAACGATACTTGGTCACAGATTTTTACCAAGCCAACAATTGTATCCCCAGCGACAAAGCAACAGAGAGATACGCAGACGACTAAGGAGTGATTGTATCGATGACGTAATGCGAGCGACACACCAGTTGTCGTACTATAAGATGATCCACAAAACGGGGGTTCGAAATTCGTTACTAAAGATCCACAAAACGGGGGTTCGAATTTCGTTACTGAAGATAAGACAGATCCTGACCAAAACAAAACATATAACCAACGTCGCTCGAGGCCTCTTAGAGGCAATAAGAAAGATTATTCTAACCGACCATCTGCACTTATGGCGGGCCCTGAGACGTGATGACGAACCCAGGAACGACCTGGAGGTATATGAAGCAAGGATTCGAGCTCTGTATAGAGCCGAATAACATCACATTCCCGGGAGCCCTTCTTGACGAACCACAGTCCCTACCCACGCAAAGCACACCCAAAGCACACCTTCGAAACAAATCACACCACGCCAAACGTCACAAGGCGAACGAAAAGTTACCGGCTTCCCTCCGAACTTAGGGGCGGTGGATCAGTCAGCGGGGTGGGAGATGTCGTGTGAGTTGTCGCTGCGTGGGGGAGTGTGGGAGGCGGCGGCATATTTCGGCAAGGCGCTTATGTGTGCGTAAAAGAACTGCTCTGAACGCAATTGTGAAGCAGGCTTTGTTCCGTGCGGCACGCAATCCAATAGCTTGTGGTGGCCTTGAAGAAGGGCATTCAGAGTGTCGCGGCATCCATTGGGGAAGAAGC